GGGGGGGGGGGGGGGGGGGGGGGGCAGGGAGCAGGCATCAATTCAGTTATAGACTGGACCCTTGCCAAGGAAGCAGCAGTTGTGATAGAGACGGTGTTAGGAGCACGAGACGGTGTTGGCAGCACGAGACCGTGTTCTGTTGTGTAAGGAATAAAAACGCAGCGCAAAGAACACAAACAAGAAGACAACCCTTGGATTGTACAACATGGGCAGTCCCGTGGTTGTGGCATCGCCTAGGAAGAGTCCATCTTCTGGCCGTAGGGTAAGTCCACTTGTTGTTGTTGAAACAAAACGTCCATTAGTAGCACATGTGTCATGTGTTGTTGTTTTTTTTAATTTAAATTTGTGACTATTTTTTTAAAAATTAAAAAGTATCGTAGTATCTTTAGCCTATCATTATCATATATTATATATCATTGGACCAAATCGAGATGTTTTCGTATTTTAATTTTATGCTTATAAAACCCTGACTTTCTGATACAAACTGATTAGCGTGGATAAGGCTCTGAAGATATGATATAGTCTAATATAGTAGGCTTAAATCAAACATTTTTAGCAGACCTCACGACTGTTTGTCGGTTGGTGGCTTTAGAAATAATATAAAAATAACTTACCGTAATTATTATGTTGAAGATTTGGAATACAAAAAAAAAAATACTTAAAAAAATATTTGTGTGTAGTACCGGTATGTTATTTGTTATTGTTATGGTAATTAAGATGAATAAGATCTGTTTTTTAACAATAACTTTTGTTTTTCTTTGTGGTGTGTGGTTTTATACGGGGTGAAAAGTTATGTATAACTAATACATTATTTTTATGAAGTTTATTTCTAAGATGGTCAAGTAAAACTACAACAAACATGTTTTTTAAAAGTGAACGGTATATTTTATACTGTTATTGCTCATAATAATATTTGACTCATGTACGCATGTAATAGCATATCGTTAATGTCTACTTTGTATGACCACTGAACCCAGCATAAACAATATTGAAAATTATTTATAAATAAGGCGCATATGTTATAGTAGGACGATTTATTAATTAACTATTGGACTTAATGGACTGGTAACTAAAGTCCTAAGTCCTATTAAATAGGCTATTTTGAAATATTTATATACTGTTTTTTTTTATTTCTTAATTGTTTATTTTTTTGTTTGGAATTTTTTACTTGTTATCTTTTCACAAAAAGATTTCCCTATTCCTTAGTTTAATAAATTTTTTAAAAAATTAAAGTTCTTACTGGCATGTGTTTAATAATAGATTCTTATACATCAACAGACCAACAAACCGCTGGTAGAGAAGAAACGAAGGGCCAGAATCAACGGATGTCTCGGCCAATTGAAATCCTTGATACTCAGTGCAATGCAAACAGAGGTAAGACTAAATGTCAAGAGATTAAATTACTTTTATAGAACCCACGAGTAGGGCTATCAAAATATTAAAATGATAGCAGGAATTCAACGAAATAATTTAATAATTATTGTTATAAGTCAATACAAATCTAACATTCAACTGTAATCATTGGTAAAACATATTAAAGATAAATTACTAAATATATAGCATCAGTAATTATAATTTATTTTTAAAATTAAATTAAAGACCCAGTTTACAAAAGGCTAATAAATTAGGGTCAAACTATTGCTATTTTGAACATTAATAAAATCAAAGTAGTGCAATCATAAGTATTCAAAATTGTAGGTTTAAATTTGAAGCCACTGAAGATTATATCTGTATTTACTTATCCTGCCTCCAGGGTGCTCAAGTTTCCCGCCTCGAGAAGGCAGACATTTTGGAAATGACTGTGAAATACCTGAGACACATACAGCACCAACAAATGGTCCCAGAGCCGGAAGTGACGGCCAAGTTCAGTGCCGGCTACACAGAGTGTGCCTCGGAAGTCATCAGGTACATCGACACCGTGAAGTGTGTCACACCAGAAGTCAGGTCTAGGCTGGAGAGCCACCTCGTGGAGCGGCTCAGGGGCTCTGCAGCCTTGACCCCTGCTGTCCCGCCCTCTGCACAGCAGCCCGTTCAAACACCGCCATCGGCCAATAAAACGGTAGTTTACCCGGCTGCAACCACAAACATGGACGAAACCATGACCAGACACTATCAGACCGCAGTTGAGCTGGCCAACATGGCCGCCTCTGTGGTCTTGCAGTCCAACACCAGATCCAGCTTGACCAACATCAGGCAGTCCTCACAGGCATCTGCATCATTACCGGAGACAATAACAACATCACAACAGCTGAACTTGACCAACGGTCACCTTGTGCAGCAGTCCTCTCATCTGGAATCGGCCCAAAATTTAAACGTTCGCAAACTGTCCGAGACTACCCGCTGTTTGAACAGGTCTCAGAGCATGTCGCCCTCGGCTCTTAGGGCAGAGGATCAAGATTTCAGAACCTCTGCAGCACAGTTCTATCACAGCCTGGACGAGAGGTTACGTCACAACGGCAGTGAACCCGCCATGCATCTGACGTCATCTTCCACATCTCTAGCTGCACCCAAACAAGAAATTTTCTACACCCAAAATGACCCAAACAATAACCAGCCAATCAATTTAGATTACTCAGATGTGGTCAAATCAGAGTCTGAGTACCTCTCCATCTTCCAGCGCCCTCTACACATCCACATCCCAGGTTCACCCCACCCCCTCCCCTCTACATCCCCACAATCCATTCACCCACATCAAATGGGATTCCACACCCAACGTTCACAAGGAGCCGACCCTGCCCACTCCCCATCCATAACCTCCATGGACGATGCGCCTCCGACCATCCTGTATGGATACAATGGAGCCCACATGGCTAGCCCTTATCAGAAAATGGAAACCTTATCTCCTTGCTCACCGAAAACTTCCGGAAACGCAGGCGGGATCGGCAGTAGCAATGAGTACATGGAGACATTTGAGCAAGCTGAGCCCCGTGCCTCGAATCATTTTTCCCACGATACCGTGAGCGCGAGCAACTCACGTGGTGGCAATCACACCCCGCACGTGCAATCACAACACACACGATACCCCACCCTGTCGCCCCCAACCCTCTCACCCCCTACCCTCACCCGGGAAGAGCCCTACCCAGGACGGATCGGTAATCCTGACGGGGACGAGCTGAGTCACGGCGGAACTGAACTGCGGCAACCGAGCGTGATGAACAGAATGTCTGACTGCTACATGCCAGAGTCCGGCCCTCACAGCGCCACCGCGGTTCCTCAAGTCCCGCGTCCAGCAAGTGGTTGTTCAAATTACTCAGATCAGTACCCAGGACAGTTAAACCTCAGTGGTCAATACCAGAAACAGAAGGAGCCGGACTCCTACCGCCCCGCTGGCGCTGCCCAACCGTACAATTGTGGCCATCAATCACTTGTTAGTCAAGACCCCTCGGGGCGCGCAGTACCGCATGCCAAAGCCACGGACAATGGACTGCATGCGATGAATGGACCCGCGACGCGTCACCACCCGAGTGTCCACTCCCGCCAAAAGGACACCTCTTTGTCCCCTCCGACCTTGAAGAGGCGGATCCTCTGCGCCCTGGGGTCAGGGGGCGAGTGGATCGCCCCGAAATCCGAGGAGCGCTTCGACCTGAACAGCAGAGAGCGTTTACAATGCGTCTCGGACAACGGGCAAAACAAACTCCAACGCACGGACTTCCGGCACGAGACCGGGACAAGCTTGTGCCGGGACGGCCGCGGTTTCCCGGTCCCAGTGGCGGGGGCCAACACGTATTGCAGGGCGGGCTCCTCACATTCAGGGGCGGACGAGAACCTGTGGCGCCCGTGGTGATGAACTGATCCTGATTCACTGACTTTATCTCTGCCGTGACAGTAGAACATTGCCGGTAGTTTCGCTGACTTTATGTTGGTTGAGAGGGAAGAGTGTAGATATGAGAGAGAGAGAGAGAAAGAGTAGATATGAAAGAGAGAAAGAGAGAGTTTAGATAGAGAGAGAGGGAGAGGAAGATAGTGAAAGAGATTTCAACTGGCATAATTTACTATTTTAATAAAGTGATTTTTCAAAAATAATTGTTCTATGAGGTTGGGGGAGGGGGGGGGGCTAAAAATGTGATTGTATTATGACTTGTTACTTACTGAATCTTACTTGTTACTTATTGCTTATTACTTGTCACTTATTACTTATTACTTGTATGTAAATGTACCTTAAATTTGTTTAAGAAATACTTTTTTTAACAACAAATTTACGACCTCACTTCTGCCGTGATTGTATATGAATAGTTAAAAACTCAAATGTCTTCAATGTGTAATTTCTTGACATGTCTTTTTTCTACCCCCACTCCTCTCTTCATACCTCCTCATCTCTCTCTCTCTCTCTTCACTTCTCTATCACTCTCATCTCCTTTCTCTCAAGCTCTCAACCCTCCCTCCTCTCCTGTCACTGCACACGCTCTACATGTCTCTCTCTCTCCCCCTCTCCCTCCTCTCTCTCTCCTCTCTCTTTCTCCTCTCCATTCTCTCCTCTCCCTGCCTTAAAGCTTGCAGGTCAAGGAGAGGGTGGACCACTGGAGATCACCTTGACCATTCGCAAGTTGTACCTGTATTAAAATTATTAATGCTGTACCGGTATTAAACTGCTGTACCACTATGACCATGTTTCAGTTCTATTCTGGTTAATGTCATGGTAACAACAGACAGACTTTTTCCAAATGTCAAATCAGACATCGACACATGCACTAACACATTATACAGACAAGTACATTATATATAAATACAGACCATTATATTTAAACACATACCATTATATATAAACACAGACCATTATATATCAATACAATTATATATAAGTATCAACAATGAGAGAAATACGGGCTGCCGTTGTAACAGAAAAGGCGGCCATGTTTTTTTTTTTTTTGTTTATATGTTACTAATGTTACAGGAACGATTCAGTTCAAGGGTCAGTTGTTACATGATATATTTTACATGTTACATTTCGTCTTCTATAACAAAATATACTTTTTTGTTATAGTGGTCTTTCAACCCACACCCTGCTGAACAATTAAGGTGTTATAATGTTATTGTTATGATCGTGTTACAATTCGTCTATTAAACATGGGACCAGTTAATGTGACGTTGATATTGATCTATACTTCCTGCTCTATTATCATTTATCGACTTAATAAACATGTTATTGTGGTATAGTATACACTGCTGATTTCTAAGCATAAAGGTAAAAAAAAAAAAAATAGAAGGGGGGGGGGGTTAAAAAACATTAACTATTATTTTTTTTTTTTTTTTTTTTTTTTTTTTTTTTTTTTTTTGTTTTTTAAAAAAAAAAAAAAAAAAAAAAAAAGGGGGGGGGGGGGGGGGTTTACAACCATGAACCCCAATACTGTTGATGCCATTATGTGTTCCGATTCATTGAAAAGAGATTTTATTTCATGCATGATTTGACCACAGATATTTTTAACAAACGCAATACAAAGGATTTTCAAAGTTTTAAATTGATTGTTTGTTCATTTTTTATTTATTTTTTTACTTTTGGTCATATCACTGAAGTGTAATTTGTCATAATTTCCAAGTGGCGCCACTAACACTATAGCCCTATCCAAGTGGCTCCACTTACACAATAGTCCTATCCAAGTGGCGCCACTAACACTATAGTCCTATCCAAGTGGCGCCACTTACACTATTGTCCTATCCAAGTGGCGCCACTAACACTATAGTTCTATCCAGGTGGCACCACTAACACTATAGCCCTATCCAAGTGGCTCCACTTACACAATAGTCCTATCCAAGTGGCGCCACTACACTATAGTCCTATCCAAGTGGCGCCACTAACACTAGACTATAGCCCTAGCCCTATGCAAGTGGCGCCACTAACACTAGACTATAGCCCTACCCAAGTGGCGCCACTAACACTAGACTATAGCCCTAGCCCTATGCAAGTGGCGCCACTAACACTAGACTATAGCCCTACCCAAGTGGCACCACTAACACTAGACTATAGCCCTACCCAAGTGGCGCCACTAAGACTAGACTATAGCCCTACCCAAGTGGCGCCACTAACACTAAACTATAGCCCTAGCCCTATGCAAGTGGCGCCACTACACTATTGTCCTACCCAAGTGGCGCCACTACACTATTGTCCTACCCAAGTGGCGCCACTACACTATTGTCCTACCCAAGTGGCGCCACGACACTATTGTCCTACCCAAGTGGCGCCACTACACTATTGTCCTACCCAAGTGGCGCCACTACACTATAGTCCTAGCCAAGTGGCGCCACTAACTTTGTAAACGTTTTTAAACGAGATGTGCCAGTGAAAATAAACACTTTCTAAGAGTTGTCACTAACACTTACACAGTACCGGTAATACGGTGGTTCCCAACCCGAGGTAAGCCTACCCCTGGGGGTACGAGGGGGGGGGGGGTGAAGGTTCATTTTCCAAGAGCTTTATATAATGATGGGAGGGGGGAAGGGGGTGGGGGCTACTCATAAATGAAAAGTCTAAACACCAGGTACAGGAGACAAAGGTCTTGGAACCGCTGTTAGAACACTATCAGGTTCACGAGTGCCACTTCACACACAGCACTGTCACACCAGTGCCTCTGATAGTGTACACTTACTTATTCCTAGCTGGATTCAGTGGAGCGTAAAGGCGCTGTAAGTGCACCAGGCACGCGACGCAACGCTTGCTGAGTTCAGTGGAGCGTGACGGCGTTGTTACTGCACCAGACGTGAGACCGGAACACTCCACTTTGAAACTGTTATAGGCTGCTATGTAAACCAGTGGATGTTGCGAAGGGCCTTCTCAAACCAGTCTATGGGGTCCCATAGTAGTCTAGCGCTCTGGAGTAAAACATCAGTCTATGATTATGGGGTCCCATAGTAGTCTAGTGCTCTGGAGTCTATGATTATGGAGTCCCACATCAGTCTAGGGCCCGGGGGCCCCACATTCTGGTAAAATTTAATTTCGAAAATTCAACATAAGGAGAAAGTCTTTTTTATACTATTTGCGTCTCTTCTATATGATCTATATTATAGTTAATGTGTACAGGTTTTACAAGGCCCAGCCTGTTCATCTGAGAGTAAGCTGACACGAGTGATGTCAGTTCAGTATAAATTGTATCTGTGGATTAAGAGGTTAAGCCTCCGGGGCAGCTCTACTCAGCTCATTTATTTAGAAATATTTCAAGGATGGACTTTTTACACATTAGTTGTTGTTGTTGTTTGTTTTTTTTTTTTTGGGGGGGNTCAAAGTAGAGGCTGGGGACTTTTGTCTGTAGTGCCTTTTATCTGCAGTGCTTGTGTCTGGGGGCTTTTTGTCTGCAGTACTTGTGCCTGGGGCTTTTTGTCTGCAGTACTTGTGTCTGGGGGCTTTTTGTCTGCAGTGCTTGTGCCTGGGGGGCTTTTTGTCTGTAGTGCTTGTGTCTGGCGGCTTTTGTTTGTAGTGCTTTTGTCTAGGGGATTCTGTCTGTAGTGCTTTTGTCTGAGGCAACTAGTCATCACTCAGACACCTCATATCTATTAGCGGCAACATGATCTTGACCTGTTTCTGACATTATTTCAACTGTAATTGGGCAGGTACTATAAAATGATAATAGGGGGGGGGGGAGGGGGACTGCTTTCAGGTTAGCAAAAAAGGAAAATGAGGGAAACAAAGAGTGGGGAAAAACCTGAAAAAAAGAAACGCAACAAAACAACCAACGTGTTGGCAGGAAGCCTTCGTGAGCGAACAAACAACAGAAAAAACATTTTTTTTTTAATATAGCTCTTAGCTGAAAATTAGTTTCCGAGAGGGTAGCAAAAGAAAAACAGCACAATTCTTTTGCTGCCCATACTTTGTTTTACTCATTTCCTTTCCAGGTACCATAAAGCTGTGCTCTTTCACGCAAGTCTGGACACATAGGTGCCCTACATGGTGGGGCTGTTTAACGCCAAGGGGGGGGGGGGTGGCAGCGCCTTTTAATTGACATGCCACTACATACATGTCGACTGGAGGCCCGGGGATGGGGGGGTCAAAAATGACAAATCTGTGAGCCAGTTTCTGTCACAAATTTTTGGTTTTCATTCCTTAGGCGTCTTAATTTCATTTTACAAATCATGAAATATTTTTAAAAATTTGACCTCGTCTTAACAATCTCTAAACGTTTTTAGCACCCCAATGTGCTGTGGAATGATGTGCTATAATTTTAGCACCCCAATGTGCTGTCAAATGATGTGCTATAATTTTAGCACCTCAATGTGCTGTAAAAAGATGTGCTATAATTTTAGCACCCCAATGTGCTGTACAATGATGTGCTACAATTTTAGCACCGCAATGTGCTGTACAATGATGTGCTATAATTTTAGCACCCCAATGTGCTGTACAAAGATGTGCTATAAATTTTAGCACCCCAATGTGCTGTCAAATGATGTGCTATATTTTTAGCACCTCATTGTGCTGTTCAAAGATGTGCTATAATTTTAGCACCTCAATGTGCTGTACAATGATGTGCTATAATGCATATAATTTATAATGACTAATTAGATCACTTGTTCCCATAATCCCCTCTTTGCTGCACATATACGTGTGCCATTTTACCGGAACGACCTACATATTTATTAGCACAGGGGTAGAACCAGAGACACAATTTAACACACGAAATAGAAGTGATTGGTACAAGATGATATAGGAAACCGATCTTATACTGTGTGTTGTATTTTTGTTTAAGTCCTACATTTCTGGTGATTAAGCTATGAGATATTATTATTATTATTATTATCCAATGTTGGTTTAGAAGATATTATATATTTTTATTACATTGTTGGGACTTCAAGGATAAAAATTGTTTTTTCAACAATGTTTAATATAGCGCTATTCTATCTGAGGAGAATTAAAAAAAAAAAAAAAACACACATTAATTATGGTTTAAAATCTTTAAATTCCCTTCGTTTATGGTCGTGGCTGGCAAAATCTTCGGACGGCTAATTGACCTACTTCCCGTCAACCTATCGAGCTGAAACTTGGCACATAGACTCGTGGCCGATGACAGCACATTCTATCGAATTTTCTTATCAAGTGCATTACGTGCATGC